GTGTGTGTGTGTGTGTGTGTGTGTGTGTGTGTGTGTGTGTGTGTGTGTGTGTGTGTGTGTGTAGATAGATATAAAAAAAGACGATATATCGGTGTTTGTACACGAATACCTGTGCCGTTCAAAACCTCCTTTTCTGAGACCAAAATAGGACTTAGTTCCTGCGCTATGGTGCCTTTAATGTTATCACTGCCTGCCAGGTGACTATGTGCTAAATGTGACTCTTACCGAATACAGATTAAAGAGGATTCAGTTCAGAGTAATGCATGTGGTAATTCATATTGCCATGAAATCCACACTAATGGATTTTGTGCATATGTATATTGTTGATAATAGAATTTAATATACAACTACAGCGGAGCATGTACAAATTTGTTGTTATGGCCAAAATCAAATATTACTGTAAACTCCAGGACAGTAAATTCATTCTACTTTGAAGCATGAGATACATTTTTTTTTCTTTTATCAGCATCTGCCAGCAGAGGGAGATGCTGTCCTTTCACACCTCTGTGCAAGTCCATCAAAACTGACTTGCACAAGGAGTTGATATACCAGCCAGCTTTGGTTTTGTTCAACAAGCGATCTCAAAGTTGGGCTTGTGTTATCACTAACAGATTAGACCACAGGTGGTGCATCCTTCTCTGAAAACTGCGTACAGCAGTGCCTGCTTTTTTTTTTTTTTTTTTTTTGCATACAGTTTTACATATCTCTGCTCTATATATAACATAGGGTTTGTGCGCTGAGAGACGCTGGTGTGGGTCAGATGTGTTTACTGTACATCTCAAAAAGCATAGCTTCACTTCCCTAGGCTGCACTCCCGGCTTGTAGAAATTCTAACTGACTGGCAGCTCAAGTGAAAGCCTCAACAAATGAGCTTAAAATGCACTTTGAGACCACAAATGGTTCTCTAGGCCTCAAATATATTGCTTGTAAACATTAGAGTGGTTATTGATTAAAAGTGAGGCTGCAGATTAGCCTACGCGAACTGAGGCTATGACGGGCACAGAGCTGTGGTTGAAAAGATTTGAGTCATCAGCCGCGTCAATCACTTTTAATAGGCCTTTACAAAGCTACAATTAAAAGCGCTATGTCGGTAGCAAGTCATAACTGATTTAATGGTATAAATAGGATGTTTGATTCACACTCCATGAAAAGAATAAAGGTTAAGGGGTTTTAAGATTGTGCCGGACTTGGATGACCACTAGTTTAAATGGGTCCAGCACTGCTAACACAGTGTTACTTTTACAGCATATTCTAAAAGGACTACTCATTCTTATGAGTGATCATTATGACTGATTGACTGTTTCAGTGCCCTCACACAGAGCTTTCATAAATGGTCGGACACTCTGCGTGGGAAGTTGAGAAGAAATCATCTCAGACACTGCAGTTTCACGGGACATAATCCTGTCACTTTGATCCACAGTTAAAGTAGGAAAAAGACATATTTTATTGCAGCCATATCTGATCATGAAATCTGAGATTCAGCTTTTACTGAGCAGTAATGAAGTCTATGTAACTTTTTAGATTAAAAATGCTTGAATGAGGGGGAAAAAAAAGTGCAGACATAATGATGCATTTTTTTTCTTTTTGCAACACGTGGTTACTTGGTCAAGTATTAAGATATTTAATTATCTAGCACTGCAGTTAGGGAGCAATGTGGTGTGTTTTAAAAATCAGCCTGTTCACACACAATTTTAACAAAGTGAAGTGCAAGATAGTTAAATATCTGAGATATGTCACATGTAATACTTGGACAAAAAGATAGACTTGCAAGTGAGCTACATGTTTCAGTGTATTTCACTTGTGTGGCATCTTATTACAATGCTATTATAGACTATGACACTTTATGACTTGTAATAAATACAGTAGGCAAAGTGCAGATGGATATTTGATTGCATCAATGAAAGAAGAAAAAAGAGCTACCTTACCCTCCTAAACTCTGCTGACCCAAATATTATTCATACCCACTATACTTCAGCGCAGGGCTGGCACAGAAACGGCATGGCCCACAATGCTGTCAGACTGTGGAATAAGATTAAGTGAGACGGTTGTTCCTCGCAATGGGGACCCACCTTGTACTACACTGGGGGCCACTGGTCTACTGATGGGACAAATTGGGGGCCCCAATTTGTCTTGACTGGGGCCTGAGATTTTTGTCCCGGTCTGTGTGTAGGGATGGGCGGAGGAGCCTGGAGGAAGGCGGGGCCTTTGTTTGTTCGTGTCTCGGCTGGCAGGAACAAAGGGTCCGGTAGTAGTAGAACACAGTCCTCCAGACAAATGACATTTAAAACATATAAGCAGGAATTGCAAATTCACCAGAAGCGGGGAAGTAGCGGGAGTGTTTCAGTTCCCGTCGTCAGCTGTTTGGTTTAGGACCACAAGAGTACATTATCAGCGGCGGAGAATTCACCATCCAGCCGCTCCGGCTAGCAGCAAGGCTAGCTGGCTAGAAACACCGACCCGAGGTGTTGAGCAGCACCGCGTTTAGGTGGACGTTTCTCTGCAGGTAACTCAGTCGAACTGCTATACCAGGTTAGCAGCATCACAGGTTCACAATATCCGCTGAAATTGATCGTAAACAGACACGGGGGGATAGGGAGCGGAGGGCGGTGATATTTAGCAAGTGGGTTAATAGCTTAGCAATGGCATCCGTTTTCTGCAAACGGTTAATGTTAATGAACGCGGCCCTGTGGTTCAGTTTACGCCTGGCCCGTGCTGTTAAAGTGGATGCTCGCGCATTTTTACAGGTATACTGCTCATGCATGTGAATACACGGAGCAATGAGGTGACACCAGAGAGCTGTGCAAATACGTTAGGAGTCTTGCACATAGCTTTGGATGTTTTATTGGCTGATGGCCATCCTCTGGATGCAGCTCTATTGTTTGCATTAAGCAGTTTGGGCGGACTGAACTGCATCAAAGTCCAGTTAAGTTAACCTTTTTTTTTTTTTTAGCGTAGTGAAATATGCATCGTAATCTCTCACCTTGTTAAAGTTTACTCTGTTCAAGGATGCTTAAGGACTGTAGTCATTTGTCAGTACGTGACATCCTTTAACCTCAGGTGCCTCTGAGCCTGTATTTTCGTGTTAGTAGTTGTTTACATGCATAAGGATCTAATGATCTGCAGGTTTGTTTTTTTTTGTTTTTTTAGATGGGTTAGTACTGCTGATTGAACCTCATATTTGTGTGTGTATTTATGTTAGAGGTGAGAATCCCCCATGTGTCAACATTTTTTTTTCTCTCAGGGCCTTTGTTTTAAAATATCTTTGCATAATTTGATTGTAGCTTCATTGTAGCTGTTTCTGTTTTCACATTAAGGGTTGTGATTGAAGAAAGGTTGTTTTTTGGTTTTTTTCCGCAATAGAGATGTGATTTGTTACACTGGACGTTATGTTTTGCACAAAGCTGTGGGATCAGCATCAAAATGAACAAAGGCTTATCATATGGGCCTGAATGCAGTCTGGGACTAATGGCTAGACTTGCTGGGGGTGGGTGTATAGGTCAGAGGTAATGTGTAGGGAACCATTGTTGGGTGGCCTTGAGCAAGATCAGCCTCATACTAATAGGGAGGAGAAGATGACCTACCATGACTCTTGAGGGTATACAGAAAGAAGGAAGAAAAGGGTGAAAGTAAATGGAGGAGGAGTTGTAGTAGTGTGTGGTGAAGGAGGACAATTAATGCTTTTCTCTCTCTGTTTGAACCTAAAAATCACCATTTGAGAATTGGTGCACATGTAGATAACTCGATCAGTTCACAGAAAGTGGCAAAAATCTTACATTTACACCCCTCTATGGTTTTGGTTTGCATTAGCATGCATGGCGCTGGGAGTCAACGTTTCTCCCCCTGCTGGTTTTAATTAAGTACAGCCCCCTCTTTCCTATGCCAAGCAGACAGTGACCAACCGTTGTGCATAAATTGTAGGTCAAATTAACATTATGCAGGTGCCTGTTGGGAATACCACATTTACAGGCAGTGCAGGCATTGTTAAACAACTGGATACAAATGGGTTTTGCTGTTATTTAAATGTTGCTAATACCTGCCTATCAAAACATACTTTAAATTCCTCATGTTGGTGCCCCACTTCTGTGTCTGCTTCAAAGGGTAGGGGAACTGGAGGGTTGCTGTGACTGGCCGGTCTGACTCAGATTTCTAGGGGTTGTTTTCCTACAACCTGGGTATAAAATATCTTTTGAGACCCTAAAACTTGAAGCAGCTGTTTGTGTGGAGCCTTCTTGAGTAGATGTTTTCTCAGCACTGCCAGATTGTTTGAGCATGACTGTGTTATCTGGGCAGACAGGGGTTAACAACAGCCAGTGTAGGGATGGGGGGTGGGTATAGAAGAGGCAGCAAGAGGGGGAGTCCAGCACACAGTGTAGAGAGGCAAAAAATATGCCAGTGGATCTGGTTTCCACTCATTTTGCAGTTTGTGTTTTCAGATGTCTACAGGTTAATAAATATACCCCCCCTCCCCAAAACAATCATTTGTTTTCTTGTCCATTTAGCAGATTGAAGGTGCATTAGATGATGAGAGCAGCAGGAAATTGTTATGGCAGTGGGCTTTTATTTGAACAAGTCTGAACAAAATCATCCAACATTAGATTACTGAGATGTTGCTGCGATTTGAATGAGCTAAATCCAAAGTAATCTAAATCTCCTTTAATTCTCTGCCCCCCCTCCCCCCCTCCTCCTCCTCTGCTCCGGGGTTGTGTGCAGGCTGTTCGTCAAAGTCATTCAAGCTGTACTCTCCTAAGGAGCCCCCCAACGGCGGCAGCTTTCCCCCCTTCCACCCAGGCGCTATGCTGGACAGAGATGTGGGGTAGGTCTGAGCTGAGCTCTCAAGGGAAATTTGTGAATTCATTCAGCCAGTAAATTATGCCATTTGTTACCCTCTTGATGTCTTATCTTTTGACTTCTTGCAGGCTTCTTGTTTTTATTATAAAATCAGTTTTCTTGATGTTTACTTAAGAATATAAGACGTCTGTTTTTACATTTATTTATTTAATTTTAGTAATATGGAGAGGTTATGAAATGCAATCTATTTGCAGAATGTTATTAAAGGCATACATGCTTGGTGGAGATTATCAATATCTTTTTTTTTTTTGTCCTAGGCCTACACCCATGTATCCCCCCTCATACATGGAGCCTGGAATGGGGTGAGCACATTGATGCTTAAATAATTAACGTCATTTGATCCTGTTTTAGGTCAGAAGTCCTTTATATAGCATATACTGTTCAAAAATTTATGCTGCATTTAGTTTGAAGCTGCTCTTGGATTATTGCTTTTGTTTGCACTACGGGTGTAAGTGCACTGAAGCAGCCCCCACTGCAGGGTGTTGAATATCCCCATTTTCTGTTTCAGGAGACCCACACCGTATGGGAACCAGACAGACTACCGGATATATGAGCTGAACAAAAGATTACAGAACTGGACAGAGGTGAGAATCGTTTTGTATTTCACAGAGTGTAGTAGCAACCCAACACAAACTGTTTCACAAAAACACAGAGCCTGTCTTTTATTTCCAAGCAGGAAATGTAATAAAGTCCTCGTAGAACTACATTTTGCAGATCCTGTAAACCACTTACCGGTACTGTTGCCCTATTTTTAGATTTCCCTCCCAACAGCTGTTGATGTGTAGGTAACCATGTTAGGGATTATGCGAGAAAATTAAGTCAGAACTCAGACTTGAGTTACATCCAGACTCTAATAGGATTATCTGATAAACCTGGCTAAAACATAATTGGAGTGCCAACTGTTTCTATGCCTAAACGGGCAAAAGAGTAGCCATTATGTGTTGTTACGTTGTGAGGCTGTTTGCACACTACAGGAAATGCTTGCATGCTAATCTACAGCTGGAAGAACTACTGGAATTGAGTTTTACTTTCAGGAAAGTGAATTGTTGGGTTTGGTTGCTTATCCAGGAAAACACACTTTAACATTTATCTTTAAGAAAATGCTTAAAGCTGCTGAATGACTATCATCTGAGGTGTCACAGGGTGAGATTCAGGTACACCATGGACAGGTCGCCAATCGCAGGGCTTTTTGCGTGCGTTTCATTCTGTTGTCCTGAGGAGTAGAAAGGTTATAGGAGAGGTGCAGGTATATGAATTTCCAGTTCTTGTTTTTTGCAAATGGCATCTGTTCTTCCTTTTGAACATGACCTATTTTAACATAACTCACTGCACATTTTGAGGAATCAAAAACTGAAAAATGTTTCTTCTTCTGCTCGTAGGACTGTGACAATCTCTGGTGGGATGCCTTCACCACAGAGTTTTTTGAAGATGATGCTATGCTCACGATCACTTTCTGTCTGGAAGATGGTCCAAAACGATACAGTAAGAAATATGTTTTCAAAGAAATGATAGCTGCTTGTCATTGAATATGTTTTATTTTAACACCCTACAATAATAAAGAGAAAACCCCAACAATCAGGTGACCTGCTTATGAGCAAGCACTTGGCAACAGTGGGAATGAGAGACAGGACAAAAGACACACTGTAGAAAAGAACCAGAGATTAATAATAACTAATGATTAAATGCAGAGTGGTTTATAATCAGAGTGAAAAGAAGTAAGTGAAGAGGAAACACTTGCTGCATTATGGCAAGGCCCCAGCAGCCCAGAGCTATTGCAGCATAACTAAATAGGATTGAGGATCACCTGATCCAGCCCTTAAATATAAGCTTTATCAAAAAGTAAGGTTTTAAGCCTAATCTTAAAAGTAGAGGGTGTCTCCTGAATCCAAACTGGGAGCTGGTTCCACAGGAGAGGGGCCTGAAAGCTGAAGGCTCTGCCTCCCATGCTACTTTTAAATGTCCTGCTGTCTAAGAGAAGAGTGGTCTGTTGGGGTTGTACCGTATTATAAGGTTTTTATAAATCAGATGACGGCTTTTTTTTTTTTTTTTTTTTAAATGTCCTGTCAGCTTTAAGCTTTTAACTTTGGCACATTTTGTCTGCAGCCATCGGCAGAACGTTGATTCCCCGGTACTTCAGAAGTATCTTTGAGGGGGGCGCCACTGAGCTCTTCTATGTTTTGAAGCATCCAAAGGAGTCGTTCCATAGTAACTTTGTGTCTCTCGATTGTGACCAGTGCACCATGGTGACCCAGAACGGCAAACCTATGTTTACACAGGTAATGCCAGTGTGGATAATAGACGCACAATTGTCTCTGAACCTTTTGTTGAGATGGTAACCCATGATCTCTGCTGTTTGATTTAGATTTGTGTTGAGGGCCGCCTGTACCTAGAGTTTATGTTTGACGACATGATGAGGATCAAGACGTGGCACTTCAGCATCAGACAACACAGAGAGGTCCTACCGAGGAGCATTTTGGCTATGCATGTGAGTTGCCGTGTAAACAAGCCCCTCTTTAATACTCAGATTCACGTACCGTGCGTGCAATTGGTCATTACTTGTTTGTTTTTTCCCCCCTATCCTCCAGGATCCCCAGATGCTTGATCAGCTGGCTAAAAATATCACCAGATGTGGGCTGTCCAACTCCACGCTCAACTACCTCCGTGTAAGCAAATTTCCTTCTTGATCTTGTTCTTTTTTTTTTTCCTTCTTTTTTTTGGTAACATATTGGTGAATTATCTGTGTTTGGAACAATCTAACATCTATCATTCAACTTTGGCCTCTCTCGTCTTCCCTTAAGCTATGTGTGATATTGGAACCCATGCAAGAATTGATGTCTAGGCATAAAACCTATAGTTTGAGCCCCAGAGACTGCCTGAAGACCTGCCTCTTCCAAAAGTGGCAAAGAATGGTAGCGCCTCCAGGTAACGTGTTTGAAATAGCCAGTGGCATTTATGATAGTTACCCTTTAAATTTAAGCTTTGAAGCACCCATACTAAAATCCAGCAGCTGCTGCATGATAGTTTCTTATCTGTAAATGACCTAGAAACTAGTGATTTATAGAGATTTATGTGAAACATGTCTTTCTGTGCTTGTAGCTGAGCCTGCCAGACAAGCTCCAAACAAGCGGCGGAAAAGGAAGGTGTCCGGCGGGAGCACCGTGAGCTCTGGCGGAGGCAGCAATAACAACAGCAACAGTAAAAAGAAGAGTCCAGCCAACAGCTTTTCACTCTCCAGCCAGGTACCTGTAAGCATTACATCTACTTGACTTCTGTCTGCACCTCCAAACTTCAGCTGAGCAAGGCATGGGGGGGGAAAAAAGGGTGTAAGGGTTGGAAAGAAGGGCAGAGGGGTCAGAAAATTCTTTGTATGCGTATATTGGGTGGGAGCTGGGGTTGCTAGCATGTTTAGTTGTAGTACCAGGTTTGGGTGGAGGTAGGTCAGGGAGGCATTTGGACTCGGAGTTTGGTGGGATTAGGTTTTTGTGTGTGTGTGTGTGTGTGTGTGTGTGTGTGTGTGGGGGTGTGTGTGTGTGCGTGTGTGTGTGTGGTTTTGTTTTTTGTAATTCTACAGAGGATAGATTTAGGTTTTAGACCCCCTCATGTGATCCAGTGATGGGCAGTCCCTGGTCCTCTAGGGCCACAGGTTAAACGGTCTATCATATAGAGGAGGTACAACTGACCTCCGTCTCTGTTTAATATATTTTGGGTCTGTGGGGTAGGGTTAACCTTGCTCTGATTTCCAGTGGGATAGTTAGGCTTTCACTCTAAATCTGCCGTGTTATCCCGGTCTTAGAGTTAACACTGAGTCTATCAGAGCACGTGATTTCACACAGCACTGCTTGTTTGACTGAGCGAACGAGACCCGAGGTGGAATGAAAACCCCCGTGATGCAGCACTCAAGGATCAGGGATGCCCACTTCTGGCCAGTAGGAAAGGCTTCTCGACCCTGGTTCTCGGGACAGGGAGTCAGGGCCACATGGACTACTTAAATGTCTGAGTAGATGACCTGAACACACATTGTCCAGTTGTGATTTGGTTCAGAATAAGAGGACACTAAAATGGAAAGCTTTTAATACTTGGGTTCCCTTGATTTCCAGTATAATGACGTTCATAAAACAAATAAATGTAATGCTGGAATTGAGCCCAGTCAGATTGCACCTAAAGCAAAAACCAAAACGAAATGAACAACTACAGAGTTGAGTTCAGGGTTAGTGACCCATGCGTGCAGTCATTCCGCGCACCCCCCTGTATTATGGGGATAATTTGTACCGGCCCTTGCTGTCCCCTTTAGGATGTGATGATGGTGGGCGAGCCCACTCTGATGGGAGGGGAGTTTGGTGACGAAGACGAGCGTCTGATCACGCGGCTGGAGAACACGCAGTACGATGGCGCGAATGGCCTGGAGGATGAGGACAGTTTCAACAGCTCACCTGCACTGGGGGCACACTCGCCCTGGAACAACAAGGCACCCTCCAGTCAGGAGAGCAAGAATGACAACTCCCAGTCGTCCCAGTAGACGAGGGGGGTCCCAACTCGTTTTGTTTTTGTATTTTTTTTTTTTTCTCCCCCCCCCCAAAAAAAACTTACTGGGATCCACCTGAGCCAACATGCTAGCAAGAGGGGTCAGGGAGGGCGGCTTCGAGCGCTTATGTTGAGTTAATTTTTATTTGTGTTCTTTCATGATAAAAGGAGAGTGGGTGGTGAAATAGATTGACCAATTGAGCTTATTGCCATCACACAAAGGCCAGTTCAGCCACTCTACCTCCCTCACATGATCATTGGTGCTCAGCCTTGGCCCTAGTCTGCCCGGCTACAACCAGTCCTCTTAGTGGTGTGGTGAGTCTGGCGGGCTGGCAGTGTGCGTGTATGTGTGTTTACCCCCCCACCTCCCTCGTCCCGCAATCATCGCTCACCACAATGTTTGAGCCAGAGTTGGCGTGTCCGGTTGTCCGAGTGCTCGCAGCGGCGCCCATGTCAGCGGGTTCTTGTTCCAACCTCGGGTCTCTCAGGCGTGCGTTCCCGTCAGCCTCGCACGTCGCTGTTTCTGTTGTGCTCATGTCACAGGGAAGGAATGCTTAGCTTTTATTTGACATGTTTTTGCAGGCTGCAGAAAACTGTGTGCACTCTTAGTATCAAAATTCAACGTTCGGTTTTTAAAAACTCAATTATTTGTTTTTGTAGGACCTGGTTGGAACAAAAACCTGTACAGTGCCGGAGCTTGAGGACCGGAGTTGAGAACCACTACGCTAAATCTTAAACACACACAAACACTGACAGACACACACCCATACACATACACACACATGCAAACACGCACACACTCACAGCAGTGTGCACACACTAACACGGTCACCTTACACCTTCAGCATAAAACGTTGAGGTACTGGAGAAAGGTGGTATGCAGCGTGTCTGGACCAGAGCACCAGGCGCTAACAGAAGTGTGTTTTTATTTTCTATGTTTTAGACTTGTTTTGATTTTGTTTTGTTTTTCAATTTTTTTGTAAACAATTTCTAAAAATAAACAGACAAGCAAGCCAACAAAAAACACCCCAGAATATTCTTTGCACTGTTTTCCACTATTAACGGCAATCTATTTTTCTTATGAATTGACGGTGTATTTTTTTTCCTTTTCTATTATTGCTAATGTAAGAACTGTAAACATCTGAAACCTGCAGTATATTAATGTAGAAATATTGCTGTTAGATCATTCTTATTGTGATGGTAAATAACTTTCATGTAAGTCTATCCTTGATATGTCATCCATGTGTCTCAGACATCCAGCTGTCATCTGGCCCATTGGCTTCAGTGCTAAACAGGCTGGAGACAACAGGGCCAGTGCTTAACTATCTGATGCGAGTTCAGAGTAGCACACTGGAAACCAGTTTCCCCAGGTAAATTTCCATCGAGCACCTGGTTCACATCTGTTGTCTTATCATCGCAGAACTGTTTGCTTTGTCTTCAGATCTCTATATTGGGGTGAGGGTCCTCTATTCAAAGAATATAATGATAGAAATCAAATTTGCTACTCAAATATTTTAAAAACAACTTTTGATGGGGTTGTAAAATAAAAAATAAGACTTTTGTATTAACTTAAGCTTCCCAGAAATGTTTTTAAGTACAATTAAGAAAGCTGCAGACCAAGGAGCTACATGTAAAGATTCTTATACTGTTTAAACGGCGCTGTTTTATGTTATATAATGAATCATTTGTTGGCTTTACTCCTCATGTTTGTGTCTGTGCTTGTATATTTTTAGGTAGTAATTTCTGTAAAAGTTATTCTATGTATTCCTCCCTAGAACTATGAGATACTCAATCTAATGTAAAGAGATGAAAAACCTCTTAAGTTTTTTTTTTTTTTTTTTTTTTTAAACGTGATTTTTAATGGTACAATCACTGACTTAAAAAACAATTTTTGCCCGCATTTTAGGAAACTGTATTTATTTTTCTATGTACTGATGTTCTGTTTAGGTTGAACCCACCTGTACAATATTCATGATGATATATGGAGGAATTTGTGGGGCTGCTGAGTCAGTTAATGCCAACGGAGGTCATTCTGTTGTGTTTCTTACGGAGATGCAGTTTGCACATTGTTCTGTTGGCTCAGTATTATCGAGGAGGAATTTAAATGCCATCGAGGGTGTGGAAGCGTCAGGTGTATTTGAAAACCAGTAAATGGCAACGGTGACAAAGTGTTGACCTCAAAGTCATCCAGTTGTATGCCTCAAGTTCCTTAGATGCTGGAAATGTGCCACAATGGTGCGACCTTTATTGAAATTTAATAGGATTGACCAAAACCTTTTAATTATAATACTTATGGTCTTGTTTTTAGGCTATTTGATGTCTGTTTTTCAGATAAATGTTAATATCTGAGAGATGAGTTTAACAAAAAAGGAAGGTTGACCACTGACATTGGATCTTACCCTTGGGGAAGTTGGTCTTAAAGCTGTGGTGTCAGGGTTTGCAGAGAAATAGGGAAAAAGTTGCCTGACAGCATCACCCAGATGCCGGCTAACAGCTGTTGCATGGTAATTTGTAGACTGTCCAGCAGGGGTCTCACAGAGCACATGAGTGCGCAGCCTGCCAGAAATTCCTCCATCGTTTTTGGCTGAAAAGCCATCTGTAAATCTACACTAGGCTGCAGGCTATTGTGTTGAAATCCTTATTCATCGTCTCCAGCACCCCTAGTCTACTTTTGTGGTGTTTCAGTTCAGCAGGCAGACACAGGATTGAATCTAGGAGCAACTTATCAACACCCTGTGTTTTCTGTTTGGGAAATATAAGGGTGTATGAGACAGAGATGAAATGGCAATGCACCCATAGCTGGCTCCTGTAGCACCTCATCATGGGGGTGGTTTTATATCTATATTTTTTTGCCAGGTTTCTGTCATTGATAATTCATGTATGGTATCAATAAAGATGAATTTTCACGGAAAAATGTGGTTGTCTTTATTGCTGGTGATAGAGGAAGCTCTTTGGCGTTTTGTCACACATAGGTGACTGCACCCACAGCAAATCATCTGCAGCCATCTCATCTCACCGTGTCCCTTAAACCCGTCTGTCACACCAGCTCTGCATATCCGCCATAAATGTTCTCTGTGGTCTTCCCCTTTTTTCCCCTCAGTTGCAGCTCTCGTGTCAACATACTTTTTTCCAATATCCACCATCTCTCTGTCTCAGCCTTGCCTCTCTGTTTGTCTCTAAACCACTTGACCTGATCTTATTTTCTTCAACTTTTCCATCTCCAGCTCATTCTCCTGTCTTGTTAGTGTCACTTTTGCTGCTATCCTCCTTTCACAAGTCAACACAAACCCTCCATGGCTTTGGATGGGTGACCCCAGGTATTTAAACTCATCTGCTTTCACTACCTGTGCTCCTCGTTTCTTCGTCGTTACACCTTTCTCCTTCTAATTCACACCCATGTGTTCAATCTTGCTTCTTAGTCATTCCTCTTCTCTCAGGAACTACTACTCTCACTACATACCCTCTGGAGACTCCTGCCTGACCTCATCTGTCAGCCTGTCCATCACCATCGCAAACAAGAAGGGGCTCAGAGCTGATTCCAGATGTAATCCTTGCCCCACCTCGAGCCCGTCTGTCACTCCTACCATACACCTCACCACTAACTCCCTGCCCTCGTACATGTTGTGCACCACATACTTCTCTGCCACTCTTGACTTCCTTATGCAGTACCACAGTTCCTGTGTTGGCACCCTTTTACATGCTCTTTCTCTACATCCACTAATGCACTAATACTCCCTCTGACGTTTCTCTATACTTCCCCATTAAAGATTTTTCAAGCAAACATCACGTCTGTAGAGCTGTTTCTTGGCATAAAGCCTTACTGCTGCTCACTGATCACCTCTTCATAACTTACCTTCAACAACTTTTTCTCACAACTTCCTGTTTTGTTTTTTTTTATTGGCTGTATACCTGCTGCATTGCATGTTAGAGAATCACCCACAACAAATAATAACTTCCTCAAAGCAGGATTTATTTTCCTCATTTACAGTTTTTGTTGTTGTGCTTTGGAAGAGTTCCTTTGCATGATGTACAGTTCAATATAATCCTTATTCATCTTACATAGCTGCCCTTTAGTTAATCCACTGTCTGAAATTTAAAATCGTTGTTTCCTTCAAACCTACCATCTTGCCTACTTTCTCCTGACTGTCTGCCCTTGGTAAACATGAGATTTGAACAGCAGGTGGGTGCGGTCCACTATTGTTTATTCACAGGTTATGGATATGTAAAATCTCTGTGGTAATACATACTCTTTAAAATCACTTGCCTCTGGAAAGAAAATTAACGTACAGACGAGCAGAATGGGTGCACAAGAGTTTTCTTGCTGAGACAGTGTGAATACTAATATGAACAAGACACAGCAGCACTTGTTTTGAGTTTATAAATGCCAGATTATCCAAGCTGCATTTCCTGAGGTGAGTCATCTCTCTTTGTTTTTTTCCCCCCCCCATTTTAAAAGAACTTCTTCACTATTTCTTGATTTCTGATGGCAGAAATAGTCAAAGTCTGTGTGGCTTTTATGTATATGTAGCCATAGTTACCCATAGGTTACCAATTAAGTAAAGATCGGCGCATGTCTTTGTTATTGATAACTGGTAGAAAATAAACTTAAGATACTGTAAAACAGGTTAATAAACAGAGAGTGTTGATTACATACTTAATTTTTTAAAGTACATTCAGTTTTGTCGCAATTTATCCTGAACTAACAAAAACTTCTTTAGCTAGCTGAAAGCTGAAAGGAGAAGAAGGATCATGAGCGCTGACATAATAAACAGGATGAGTCACTGGTGTTGCCTTATCATTCACTGAATTCTTGCTGGTAAATGGAACATGCTGCCCTTATTGATGAAAAGTACTGTTATGTTGTTAATCTGCCCTCTCAGTTCTTGTTTAACTGAGAATTACATGACCTGTGATGTTATTTCAAGAGCACACAATTATTAAGGACAATCAGCAAGTCAAAGCACTGCAAGGTGTTGATGTCATCCTTGTATTAAAGCTACCTGACAGGGTTATAAACCGGAAAACTTAAAATTTTAGGTTATAGTAAAACACCTATAAGCAATCAGCAAATGATTGTTGACGTTGGACAGAAACTCTTTGAATTCTGTTTGCATTATGGAAATTAAATGCATTCCTATTTTACAATCCTTTCTTCGTTCCATGAATGCACCTTCTAAACAAGAAATACCCACCTCAGAAAGGTTACGCTTTGTTACACAGAGAGGGAAATGTTTTTCCTGCAAAATGTTTTAGAAAACGCTGTTGATTCTTTCCATGCAAAAATGTTAACAGTATGATCACAGTGGGGAATTCTACCCATGCAGGTGTGTAGTGGGACTTCCTTCTTGTGCAACTGTAAATAGTTTGTTGTCAAGTGTTGCTCAGTCTGTGTAAAAATTGTCCTGTCTTGACTTGTTGCCAACTCCAGACACAGTATCTTTTGACCAAAGTGAAAGTAATTTGTCAGCTGCTGTCAGTAATTTGCTCGATGTTGAAATATTTTGGAGAATTTTTTGGCAGGCTTTAGTCATTTTTCTTTCTTATCCCAAGCGTGTCCTTTCCATCTTCCCCTACATGTTTGGGCTTTGCCCTTGCTTCCATTAAAGCCACACCTTGCGTTTCATATTGCAGATGTGAACTGATTCACTTGGG